AAAATATAAAAATTCTCAATTTTAAATTATCATCATAACTACTGATATCTAGAATAAGAAATTGGACAATGAGAATTATATTCAAACTACCACTGTTTCTGCTACTGTAGAAACAATGGTAGATCTACTGTAGGCATGTTGTAGTATATCTGAAAATATAAAAATTCTCAATTTTAAATTATCATCATAACTACTGATATCTAGAATAAGAAATTGGACAATGAGAATTATATTCAAACTACCACTGTTTCTGCTACTGTAGAAACAATGGTAGATCTACTGTAGGCATGTTGTAGTATATCTGAAAATATAAAAATTCTCAATTTTAAATTATCATCATAACTGATATCTAGAATATGAAATTGAACAATGAGAATTATATTCAAACTACCACTGTTTCTGCTACAGTAGAAACAATGGTAGATCTACTGTAGGCATGATGTAGTACATCTGAAAATATAAATATTCTCAATTTTAGATTAGCGTCATAACTGATATCTAGAATATGAAATTGAACAATGAGAATTATATTCAAACTACCACTGTTTCTGCTACAGTAGAAACAATGGTAGATCTACTGTAGGCATGATGTAGTACATCTGAAAATATAAATATTCTCAATTTTAGATTAGCGTCATAACTGATATCTAGAATATGAAATTGAACAATGAGAATTATATTCAAACTACCACTGTTTCTGCTACAGTAGAAACAATGGTAGATCTACTGTAGGCATGTTGTAGTTACATCTGAAAATATAAATATTCTCAATTTTAGATTAGCGTCATAACTGATATCTAGAATATGAAATTGAACAATGAGAATTATATTCAAACAACCACTGTTTCTGCAAGTGTAAAAACAATGGTAGATCTACCAAAGGCATGATGTAGTATATCTGAAAATATAAAAATGCTCCATTTTAAATAATAATCATTAACTGATATCTAGAATATGAAATTGAACATGAGAATTATATTCAAACTACCACTGTTTCTGCTACAGTAGAAACAATGGTAGATCTACTGTAGGCATGATGTAGTACATCTGAAAATATAAATATTCTCAATTTTAGATTAGCGTCATAACTGATATCTAGAATATGAAATTGAACAATGAGAATTATATTCAAACTACCACTGTTTCTGCTACAGTTGAAACAATGGTAGATCTACTGTAGGCATGATGTAGTACATCTGAAAATATAAATATTCTCAATTTTAGATTAGCGTCATAACTGATATCTAGAATATGAAATTGAACAATGAGAATTATATTCAAACTACCACTGTTTCTGCTACAGTAGAAACAATGGTAGATCTACTGTAGGCATGATGTAGTTACATCTGAAAATATAAATATTCTCAATTTTAGATTAGCGTCATAACTGATATCTAGAATATGAAATTGAACAATGAGAATTATATTCAAACTACCACTGTTTCTGCCACAGTAGAAACAATGGTAGATGTACTCACGCGGTATTAACTTCGACCGTTAATTTGAATTTTTGACCTACCGGATGTTTGAAAATCAAGGATTGCGAGTCTCATACAGCACCGTTTTTCTTCAAACTTATACCATTAAAAGCAAAACAAAATTGCCTTTCTGTAGGTGCATTACTGTATTGTAAAGAGTTCCTCGTTCTAGCAGTGTTTTGGTCCCCAGCTGTTAGAAGGCCTTCTTACAGCTGGGGACCAAAATGCCACTGGAAGAAGGGACTCTGTTTAGAAGAATAATGTACCAACAGAAAGGGATTTTTGTTATGCTTTGAATGGAACAAGTTTGAAGAAAAATGGTGCATTATGGGACTCGTAATCCTTGATTTTCAAACATCCGGTAGGTCAAAAATTCAAATTAACGGTCGAAGTTAGTACCGCGTGGTACTGTGGGCATGATGTAGTACATCTGAAAATATAAATATTCTCAATTTTAGATTAGCGTCATAACTGATATCTAGAATATGAAATTGAACAATGAGAATTATATTCAAACTACCACTGTTTCTGCTACAGTAGAAACAATGGTAGATCTACTGTAGGCATGATGTAGTACATCTAAAAATATAAAAATTCTCAATTTTAAATTATAATCATATTACTGATATCTAAAATATGAAATTGAATAATGATAATTATATTCAAACTACCACTGTTTCTGCTACAGTAGAAACAATGGTAGATCTACTGTAGGCATGATGTAGTACATCTCAAAATATAAATATTCTCAATTTTAGATTAGCGTCATAACTGATATCTAGAATATGAATTGAACAATGAGAATTATATTCAAACTACCACTGTTTCTGCCACAGTAGAAACAATGGTAGATCTACTGTGGGCATGATGTAGTACATCTGAAAATATAAATATTCTCAATTTTAGATTAGCATCATTAACTGATATCTAGAATAAGAAATTAAACATGAGAATTATATTCAAACTACCACTGTTTCTGCTACAGTAGAAACAATGGTAGATCTACTGTAGGCATGATGTAGTACATCTGAAAATATAAAAATTCTCAATTTTAAATTCTAATCATTAACTGATATCTAGAAAATGAAATTGAACAATGAGAATTATATTCAAACTACCACTGTTTCTGCTACAGCAGAAACAATGGTAGATCTACTATAGGAAGGATGTAGTACATCTGAAAATATAAATATTCTCAATTTTAGATTAGCGTCATAACTGATATCTAGAATATGAATTGAACAATGAGAATTATATTCAAACTACTACTGTTTCTGCTACAGTAGAAACAATGGTAGATCTACTGTAGGCATGATGAAGTACATCTGAAAATATAAAAATTCTCAATTTTAAATTATAATCATTTTACTGATATCTAGAATATGAAATTGAACATGAGAATTATATTCAAACTACCACTGTTTCTGCTACAGTAGAAACAATGGTAGATCTACTATAGGAAGGATGTAGTACATCTGAAAGTATAAGAATTCTCAATTTTAAATTACAATCGTAACTGATATCTAGATTCTAGAATATGAAATTGAACAATCATAACTGTTATGGACGGACGGACGTACATATGGACGGACGGACAGACAGAGGCGTTCCCTATATCCCTCAGAACTTGGTTCCATAGGATAATTATAATCATAACTGATATCTAGAATATGAAATTGAACAATGAGAATTATATTCAAACTACCACTGTTTCTGCTACAGTAGAAACAATGGTAGATCTACTGTAGGCATGATGTTGTACATCTGAAAATATAAATATTCTCAATTTTAGATTAGCGTCATAACTGATATCTAGAATATGAATTGAACAATGAGAATTATATTCAAACTACCACTGTTTCTGCTACAGTAGAAACAATGGTAGATCTACTGTAGGCATGATGTAGTACATCTGAAAATATAAATATTCTCAATTTTAGATTAGCGTCATAACTGATATCTAGAATATGAATTGAACAATGAGAATTATATTCAAACTACCACTGTTTCTGCTACAATAGAAACAATGGTAGATCTACTGTAGGCATGATGTAGTACATCTGAAAATATAAATATTCTCAATTTTAGATTAGCGTCATAACTGATATCTAGAATATGAATTGAACAATGAGAATTATATTCAAACTACCACTGTTTCTGCTACAGTAGAAACAATGGTAGATCTACTGTAGGCATGATGTAGTACATCTGAAAATATAAATATTCTCAATTTTAAATTATAATCATTTTTTTACTGATATCTAGAATATGAAATTGAACATGAGAATTATATTCAAACTACCATTGTTTCTGCTACAGTAGAAACAATGGTAGATCCATAAAAGGCATGATGTAGTATATCTGAAAATATAAATATCTCAATTTTCAATTTTAATCATATCTGATATCTAGAATATGAAATTGAACAAGGAGAATTATATTCAAACAACCACGGTTTCTGCAACTGTAGAAACAATGGTAGATCTACCAAAGGCATGATGTACGATATTCGAAAATATTGAAATTCTCAATTTTAAATTCTAATCATAACTATTATCTAGAATACGTATCCCTCCTCTGACGCAAACAATTGTAAATGTAATCAACAATATGAACAGCAAGAATTACATTCAAACAATTATGTTTACACGTATCATGGGCTTTCAACAGACCCATGCATGTATCTATGAAATGGCGGAAATAGTGATATTCAAAAATATGGATTTGAACAGTGAAGATATCCAAACCACCACCACCATCAGAATGATGTGTATGTGAAAGTATTAAAAAGCTGAATAATCATTTAACTGTAAATCAAATACTTATAAGGGTTAGTTTTTGTCATTGTTCTAATGAACTTCTCATGCTGAATGCTACAATTTACAGATTTAAGTGTTTTGGTTTAGTCATAAAGGAGAGGATCAGGGTTTCAAGATCATTTTATTTAAATTGATTTTATTCATATATGGCTACAATAACAGCCCTAAATAAGCTTATTTATTTGTGTCTCACTATCATCAAAATAGGCTCAATATTCTTCACTAAACTATGATGTAAATGTGGAGAAACTAGCAATGCCATCTTTTGGAATGCCAGAATAAAAATCTTCAACATTAAACATTTTAAATCACATTAAAATGGTAGTTGAACCATTGTAGAACAGTTGATTGAAGCAACAATGGCTTAGTTGTTATTACAATGGCAGTTTCCATGGTAGATCTATGGTAGATTCACAGTAGGGATACATTGTATTGTCAGTGTTGTTGAAACAATGGTTAACAACCAATTTCAACCACAATTCTTTTATTAGCATACATTGTAACAGTGGTTGTATCAATGGGAGTACTACCACGGTGCAATGTTGTAAGCAACATGACAAAACACATTGAATACCATTGATCTTTTTATAAGGGTATATAGCAACATAAAGCAAAACCATTTTCAATACAAAACTGAATTGGTCAAATTTCTAAAATTTTGAATTTAAAATGAAGTGACCATTTTGAAATTTCTTCAACTTACTCTTTGGAAGCGAGAATCATCCCGTTCGCTTTCACTGTTTCTATGGTAGCGCTCAAATCGGTGATCACGGGAGTCCTCTCTTCTTTCATCTCTGTTGTCATAGCGACTGCCTCTGAAGTCTCGATCACGTTCACGATCCACCTGAATTCGACCACTTCCAATCCTTCGAGCATTTCCTTGATTTCTGCAAACAAAAGAAATATTGAACAATAAAAAATATAGCTATGAAAATTGTTTTTACTCAACTTAACCTTTCTTTCTTAACAAAAAATATTTATTGAAACACCTCACTAATTTAAACATCTTCCAATGTGAATAATGTGAATGCTTTATTTCGGTTCCATTGTTATCACACTTTAAGATTAAGTTTTGGGAATGCTGGGTAAATTTATTACATGGTAGCAATATTGTTCTTTTAAAGTGCGATATTTATCACTTTGTGTCTTGCTTATCTGCCTATCCTCAAAATGTAGACACTTGACAATCTGAACACTTTTGGCTCCCAGTGGCAAATTACACAGGTTTTAATCCTCTTAAATAGTTGCTTTAATTCATGACTACTATGTTTCAATTCAAATCTATGTTAAAACTTACCTATCCAAATCCCTAGAGTCTCCGGGACTTGTTGGTCTCCGTAGAGAAGGAATCTGCTTTGTTACCTGGCAACCAGTGCCAAAGCTACGTCTCTGGGGACTCAACACTATTCCATCTTGCTCCTGATCTTTTATGTACTCCTTAGGATCTATAGCGAATATACAATTTTATAAGTATTGTTATGTACCACAAAAGAATTTATACAGTATATATAAGACATTTCCCGTTAAAAAATTTATAATTTGTGAATAATTTGTGCTCATATCAGTTCACTGTTATGCCTTTTCTCTACAAATTCTAACAAAGTTCCAAAAATCAGATAAATTAATATGTTCAATCTTTGCTAACAATAAATGATGAATCAATTTCTCTAAATGAGGACCATGGTCTAGTATATTTAGGAATCTGCATGATTTACAAATAAATAGTATGTTGCTGGCCTGAAAGATCACAGACCTAAGGATTTTTAGCACATTAACCATATTTAGCTTAGCATTTTTCAAGAGAAGATATTGTGTAGCTATATCATTGGGTTTACCTGAAGGCCTGCGTCGAGAGAAAAAATCTCTCTGTAATTCTATGACACGTTTGCGATCCTTGGAACCATTAAAGGCGGGAGAATTGTTGCGAGAATTATCAAATGATCTAAACCACTTCTCAGGGTCCCACACACCTTCAGGCCTGCAAAAAAGAACTCAGTGATTTATTGGAGTATGTGCATCTATTAGAGAGAATCTAATAAAGTTATTTCTTTATTTCTATTTCAATTTCCTTTTAGGTGGATGCATTATATGCTATTCAGATATTTAAAATGTATAGGATGGCCCAAAAAACTCTTATTTTAAGGGGTCACCTTGTAACATGTTAATAATGAACCTACGTGTCATAATCCTTGCCCAGACATGCAGGTCTTCTTTTGGCAGCTGGCGTCAGAGAAAGTTCGTTCAATGTTGCCTAGAAACATAAAAAAATGAATCCTAACAGGAGGCTGTTACCCATAAATCCTTGTTTTAAGTTTCTTAATGGTGGGCCTTGTTCATGAGCATTAAATCAATATAAAGTATATTTATTTTTTACAAGAAAAATAAATTTTGGGATGAGAATGTATAAGAATGCAAAAACTTGAACAAATCTGAAAATAGCATATTGCCCAATAAAGAACCCCGATTGGTCAAACACAGGCATATATAGATGTGAGAGAGTCCCACCACTATTCAGAATACAGTGTATACAATTAATTCCAAGATTCTGTAAGTTTCATCCTTATGGATTGAGAAATAAAAATAGGACGAGGATTAAAGATACCAGCTAACGACCCTTTAAAATCACAAAATCTTACCCTATCATAAGAATACTCGGGGAGATTTGAGGGGGTCGACTTTCCATTGTCCAAGCCTAGGTCTTGCTCCATGCTATCCCTATTTGGAGTGTCTCTGCTTGGTGTGTCCCGACATGCTGCCGTGTCTCCCTCATTCTCAGACATGTCTGCTTGGTGACGCTCAATGAGAAATCACTAAAAAGCAATTCATGAAAATAAGGCAATTATTTAGCTCTATAAGTGCGAGGTTCCAAATAAAGTCTACCAAAGAATAATAACTATTACATATGAAGTCTTAAAAACCTGTAATTTTGTTCCAAATAATACCATGCATGAGACCTACAGTGCCTGTCATTATGTTGCTATTAACTAAAGAGGTGTAAGAATATTTACCTATGGATGGAAATGATTCGAGGAAATTGATGTTTTAAAATTCTTTTTAGCTTCACAACAGAATAAAATTCTATCTTACATGATCAGGACATGATCTTTAACTAATTGAGTGCTAATGATTTACTTGCAAAGACGTCATTCCAATTAAATTCTTACTTCACAAAAAATGATGTTTCACCAAATTGCTAGAATAATACATCTTAAGAAATGAAACCCTCCATGATGTGTTATAAATATCCAAACACTGTTGCCCGTAAAGGGTCTTTTACTTGATTCAACTTTCCATTCCTTTTCTTTCTCACCCTAAACTATGAGAACTTTAAGCCTAACATAAAAAAACAAGAAATATTCTATTTTTAATGTTTGAAATAACTTAGCAGCAGTGCTGTCACCTTTTGGCAAATACCCAACCTTGTTGCAAATAAAAATCAAATCAATCAAGAATTGAAGTGCTGCCATTTTTGAAGAAAATGCCAGTTTGAAAAAATTGTCAGTCAAACATTTTTACATATGTTCACCCAGAGTTTATGTGCTTTTTGAATTGAGTTTTGGATTGAGATCATTTTATAAAATATAGAGATTAAACATTTGTAGAACTACGAATCATTTCAAATATAGCAGATCAAAATGGAATAATGGTATTACAGATTATGACTTTTTATGAAACACGATGGTGTTCATTAGGAAATTCTTTCTCAAGCTGAAGCCTTATGGCCCAATAAATCTTTAAAGCCTCTTCAAATTCATAAATTCTAGGTGAATACCTAATGTATAATTTTACAGCAAACTGTTGCTTAAAAGATACAGGGAAAAACATTATCATGGTTGCCAAAGAATTCTCAGAACTCCAACAATCTTATAAAGAATGCGCTGATCATTTGAGACATAAAAAAAATTTATTATAAGGATTAATCAAACTGAGATTTCATAACAGTGATAAAGATTTTCGCACCTAGAAATAGAACTTCATTTGTTGGATTTACACTAGCGAGCTAAGAGCGCTTAGCTAAAATGTTTTAGGACCCTAGTCATAGCCAAGATGTCAAAGCATTAAAACGATTTACAAGTGAGAGTAAATCCATTGGTTGTAGCCAAGAGCTCTTAGCTCGGTTTTTTGCGTTGTGCCGAACGAAACATTTGAAACTTTCCATTTACATATGTCGCATGGTCCTTTATTTTGTCTTATCCCTTGTTCCCAATATCATCCTAAAATTATTGAGAAGAACTTATTTGCCTGGCGATTTATCATAATCCTAATTTATACATAAAATCTTCCTGCTCTCTTTCATGCTTTTAACAATGCTGTCTTAAGGACATATTTTTCTGAAACACCGATGCATTCTTTAGTACAAAGTCGGGTACAAAGTATAGAAGCGGGAAAGGAATAGCTATATTGACTGAACCGGCCTTCAACCAGTACTGAACTGCTTTTTTCATTTTACATGTTTACTTACATATCTCTAAGACATTTTAGGAAAACAGGTGTAAACTCGATCTTATTTCCTAAGACGTCTTGAAAATGGTCATGTAAACTCAACTAAATTTTTCTAAAACGTTTTAGCCAAAATGTCTTGGAATACTGCATGTAGTGTAAATTGGGCTATTCAATAGCAAATACATGTTCTAACTACAGGGCATATAAAAAACGAATCAAACAGTTATATTGTAATACTAAAATCAAAAAACCAGTGATGACTGCATCAATTTTATTCAATATACCATGAAGCCACATCCCTCCTCTTTGCAATGGTATGTCATTTATTCACATGTGGTCATGGCTGAGCGAAAAATCATTCCCTTTGCATAGTGGTTCAAAGTCGGCTCTGGGCCAAGTTTTAGACATTTCCAGAGTCGGCTCTGGGCCAAGTTTTAGACATTTCAAAAGTAAGTGCAAGGGCAAAGTGCTAATGGAAGTTCTTCTGATTGTTGTCACTTTTCTTTTGGAGCTATCTCAGGAGCAGAGTGTTCACCATTCCTCTACAATCGCAACTTTTCAAGAAAGAATTGCCAATGGGCTGCTGTTCTCCAACTGAACTCACAGATGACTCAGAGCTGAGCCATGCAGGATATGGAGAGATGAGTCCATCTCTGTGTGCAAAGAAGTGGTGGCCAAATTGAAGGGTACGAGATGAATCTTGTAAGAGTAGGAGACATGAGTATTTATAAACACTTAACTCTCTATACCCAACCATGGCCTGATGTCAATGAATGCCATACCATTGGAAAGATGAGACACATGGGTTTATGGTACATTAAATGAAATTGATGCTGTTATCACATATCCCTATTACATTAATTTCGCCAAAAATACATTTGAAAGTGTGAATGTTGGAAAGATTCCTCATTACATATATCTGCATTCCAGCCTTAAGTAAGATATACAACCGATAATAATTTCTTTCCACATGATATATGTTCTCTCACTTGTTATTATTTAATTAATAAAATTACATTAAACAGAGCTTTGTGTGTCTCATTCCAGAATGTGAGTTCATTTCTCATAAAGTAAGCCCCTTGATTTTTTTTACTGTAATCAGCTTTTAAAAACAGCATATTTGCATTTTCTGTATATATTGGGAACCCTGGAAGTGGTCAAATGACAATCGATATTGAGTTTCTTCGACATTGACCCAGATAGTTTGAACCATAAATAAATAAATGAGCAGAGATCACGATAGTTGAAAAAACTTGTTAGCCATTGTGGCTAAATCTTCCAAAAAAATTTTCGCCAACCAAAATATGAATTAGCCATTAAAAATGATGAAATGTCTGATGATGACAGTTTCACTTTTCAAAATCATATTCAGAAATAAAAAAACGTCAATTAAAATTGAATGTAAAGCAACTGCCGCGAATGTGATCGGCATTTCATATAGTCTGCACGGTGTAATATCACAAATTCGTTTACCTTGTGATATCGGAGTCCCAAAATACTTCCAAACTGCCGACTTTTTCGACTTAGATGCCGGCTCGATTTTTCAATTTCTTTCCTACATCCGGCATACTGATAATGCACTCGATTTGCGAACGACGATGAAGAAATTTACGAACAAGCATTACCATCTACCTGAAATCGCGGGTCCGTTAATAACACTTTTCAATGCAAAGAAGTGTAATCTAGGTACGAGGTAAGTGAAAATATTTAATTTTTCAGAACGAAATCGGAGGTGTTCCTCGCTATTTATACACGTTTTTATGCATTTTAGGGAAGGAATCTATGTACCGATATTAACCCTTTCTGCCCCATGTCCCGAACCGAAGCATCTGGACCGAAATTCGGTCCAATATCGGGAAACCGTGACAGTTCTAATTCGCCATAACTGCGAAATACCTTTACATATTTTTCGCCACCTCTTTCGAAAATTCGCGATTGGCGAATGGCGAACGTCTACCGTGATCTCTGTAAAATGAGTAGTCAATTTTCTATCACCATTTCTAAACCATGGTGTTCAAATATTGTCTAGATATATCCCCTAAAATTTGTCTATTTTACATTTGGTATACTCTCATCTTATCCCGTGCCACCACTGATGTAAAGTGGTGAACATAAATAATGACTAACACTATGAAAAAGATATTTTGTCACATATGTCATAATTTCTTACCTCAGTGAATTGAGTGCTCTATTTTCTCCGTCCCAGAATGTACAAATTTAGTGGAATTTGTGTCCTTAATGACAAATAGGAACTTAAAAATTTGAAGTGATATCCACATGTTAATGCCGACTCATCAAATGTTGAGGTGATTTTTGAGTCAGATTAAGTCGCAAGGAGGATTGGCTCCCGGAATGCAACATGACACGCTAGCATTCAAGATGGCATTCTGCCATTTTGAAACCTGTCACGAGGAAATAAGGTTAACTGATGTTGCATTCTTGGAGTCAATCCTCCTTGGATCACAACATGGCTATCCATGAAAACGCTTGTTCGATTTTGTAGGAATTTATCCATCATTTGCAGGTATGAAGCTTTGGATTCATTTAATGTGCTACTTAGAGTGAACGGGAATTATTTTTCGACTGCTTTGGAGTGTTTGAGACATGAAACTTAGAATTTAGCTCATTGTGACAACTTTTGATTGTTGAGGCTTATAAAGTCTCCCACTGTATCATGCCTTTTGAAAATTCTGTTATTTTATAATATGGGATATCCTCACTAGCAAATCCATGACTCATTTATTTATGGTCCAAGAACCTATTGTCATCATAATAAAGGCGCTGAAGCGAACGATAGACACGCACAGCGGACTGCATTCTAGATTGAAAAGCCAATATTAAAATAGCCCCTTGACAAAATTACCCCGGACATCACAGTTCGACTAAGGGTCCCTAAAGACTAAGATTTGAATTTAACTTCTTTCTTCGAAATTCTCTTTTTGATCCGACAAAAATGAAATTACATGCAATTCAAGTTCATTCTTCAATAACTTAACGAGAGCCGTGTCATCAGCAATCTAAGAATACTTTCCTGAAAACAATTCTTACATTGTATATGAATTATTGATAGTTTTCAACGAGGTGCTTTTTGCTGAACAGAGCATTTTCTGATCAAAACAAAACAAGAGAAAATATTTTTTACCTCCACGTTGTTCTCTAGTCGCCCCTCTTTCTCCGCTCCAAGCTACTCTCACAATAGCAAAACTTCAACGAAAATAATATCTCTCGAAAGTAAAAAGATTGATGATATGGATATGATTTGTATTAGTATTCACTATGAAGCATAACGACGAAAATATTGAAAAGAAAACGGTCAATTTTTCAGCTGTCGCAAATCTAAAATGTCGCTTCAGCAAAGCCCCGGATGAAGAATATAAAATAGCAGTGAAACCAGAAAATAAGTTATAGGGATATGTAAACTATTTCACACATTATTCGTATAAAACATGATTCACATAACATATAATTATATTATTTCGTTATAAACTAAGTCTTTTTTAACTATATGATAGTCATAGATACAATAGATCCGTATTTCATTTTGTATAAAAAAATTATTTCCGGGTTAAAGGTCAACCGCCATTATTTCATTCATTCTCATGTGTGTCACATTTTGACACATTTATACCGATATCTTCACAAATAAAGAACATTTTCACAAAATTTTCAGGTGAACATTTTCAATCATGAGTGTGCTACAAAGAATAGCTGAGATCGAGGCGGAGGTATGTGGAAGTTCTCTTCATTTATTAATAATTTGTCAAAAATGTGGGAATGGACTTCATTCATTGAACGCATAAGCTTAGGCCCAGGTTAGTACTTTAGTAAGATTGTATTCCATACATATAATTCACAGGTGCACAACTTGGATTGAAAAATTTTCAAAAACTTCCCGTCTTGGTACGAGTTCTCCTTACTTTTATTTTTTATTTTAGATTGGTATCGAGTCGTACCACCAAATCTCTCCAGAATCTTCTCCAAAGTGTTTTTGAAATGTATATCGTTGAATATTTCAAATCTATATCCTAACTCTTCGATAATACTGCATAAAAAACAACAACTGTACAAACCTGCAATTGCTTGGCAAGTTGAAACTTCGGGATACATGGAAAGATTGAATTTTGTAACGATTGATTTGATTGGTTGTAATTAGAAGTTTGAAATTCCAAGAAAAATGTTAATTTCACCATTTAAATTGGGTTTATAAAGATATTATATCATCCATATTATAACATATTTGCATATTTCTATCCCGATTTTAACATTTATTTTTGAACTTTGAAAATGGCAAATGCATCCAAATAGGTGTCACTAGCGGCGGTTAGCAGCAACCAATCAAATTCCTTGTTTTAAACTTCATTTAACACGGAAATGCGCGTAATTTGCCAGACAATTGCAGATTTCCAGAATAGCTCGCCTCAAGACGGCTTTATTCACACTATATCACTTGAATGGGGTTTATTCATAGGTGAGAATTGCGAACTATCAATTTTGGATCAACTTTGAATTGTTTTTTTGAAAATAATACACAAATAATGTTAAAATCGCCATCTTAACAAGTGGCCCAAATCCAAGTTGCACACCTGTGAATTATATGTATGGATTACTACAGTACTTAACCTGGGCCTATGCATTGATGTATGGATTGTTTTTGGGGAAATCATTCATTAAGGACCATAGGAAAGGAGGATAAACTCTCCTTATCCCATAGTTGAAGTCAAATCTGTAGAATAACACGTATATATATTTATGATATTTTGCAAATGCGCAAAAAAGCGATATCTGTGAATATAGATATCTCCTTTTTAATGGATTTGAAAACTCCCGCCAATGTGACGTTCATTATTACATTTTATATGCTTACATGGTGATTTCATGACGTCACAAATATGGAAATTATAATCACACATCCTAGTTTTCTGCATTAGAAAAATGCAAATTCTGCGCAGAAATTCTGCATGAAAAAGCCAAATTCTGCACCAAATTCTGCATGAAATCTTAAATTCTGCGCCAAATTCTGCACGGGGAAAAGTGAAATTTTGTGGTACAAGTACATGTATGTGCAAAAAGTGAAATTCTTGCTAAAATCAATAATTTTCTCCAAAAAATAAACAATTCTTGAACTCCACTCATGCTGCTTTATTCAGCAATAATGGACAATTGCAGTAATAACACCAGATGCAATGTTAATTAGCGACAAAACTTACCAAATGCTCACTTGTGAACTATCACGAAATTCGAACTATCACGAAATTCCAGATCAATATGCAGGGAATTCAGATGTCGTCTATTTATATATGACGAAGTAAAACGCAAGAAGAAGCATGATTATTTGCGTTAGAATACTATAGAATACAATATTAAACATATTATTGCAAAACAATTACGAAGGACTGTCATTGGTTTCAAATTTCGTAATCATGTTAGACGCAGTCTTACCTCTAAGTGCAAAGGCGGAAGTTCGAGATTTAAAACAGATTTCAGATTTCCTCTTGAAAATCTGACAAAACACAAGTATCTGACAACAAACGAGCAGAGTCTTTGGGTGTTTAGGTGAGTGACAAATATGAGATGAGATGGTTGACTGGAAAAATCATGTTTTCCGCGAAATTCCGTGCCAAAACAAAAATTCTGCAAAAAATATGAAAATGCAAATTTCTGCGGTTTTTCTGCGGCGATGCGGAATCACGGAATACTAGGATGAGTGTATAATGCTTTTGCTATAGTTCAAATGACAAAATAAAACTGAATGTTGTTTTGAAATGCTTTGTAAGGTGAACTATGGGATGATTTGACCTCAACTATGGAATGAATGGAACATCCTATGATTTTTTCGTAATATCATTTTAATACACTCATTGATATCAATATCTGCACTCATTCGCTACACTCTCTTGTCCAGATATTGATATCAACTCGTGGATAAAAATGATATCCCTCAAAATCATAGGATATTGTATACTTTAAAACCTTAAAGTTTTTGGTATCCATATAGTCTAGATATAAATACATAAATACAGAGTTTGAGAAAGAAGTCTTTTTCCGCAACATTGTTAAAAAAACATTTGAACTGCCAAATGAAAAATAGAAAGACGTACAAAGTTTTGCGGCAAATGATGACGTAGTATGCAAAAAATATGTTAAAAACATAAGGGATTTATAAACACTTATTATTCAAATCATTTTTTCCAGATGGCCAGAACCCAAAGAAACAAGGCTACCAGTGGCCATCTTGGACTTCTGAAAGCTCGATTAGCCAAGTTACGTCGAGAGTTGATAGAGCCTAAAGGTGGCGGTGGAGGAGCTGGAGAAGGCTTTGACGTTGCAAAAACCGGAGATGCCAGAATAGGATTTGTAGGTTAGTGCTCATCTTTTATAGGATATTTCAATATAACTACCAAATTCATTTGAAATAGAATAGCCTACACATGTAGATTATAATGTATTCTGTACCTACTGAAGTTCTAGGAACATTATGGCCAGGAATATACCAGTATAATGTATCTAGGGAGTTGTTGCCTAGGTCCATCTATCCCAGTTTTTAAACTTTTTATAAGCTTTACTTTTTATAAGCTTTATTGTATTCTAATCTCCTTTCAGGGTCATATGCTATAAGAACCACAGGGACTGTACTCCCTGTAGGTTGTTTATTCCTCAACTCAATGCAAAATTATTAGTTTTCTATTCAAAATTGTCTCAATGAAAAATATCTAAATATTTCATAATTTTTCAAATCATCATCTTGTTTGCTTCAATTTTCGGACAATTTCTGTAGAGCAGGATTTTTCAAAAACAGATAGCGATATACATGAAATTTTATTTAAAATATAGGAGTTCCCCTTTTATCTTAATTTTGTGTTGCAGGTTTCCCATCTGTAGGCAAGTCCACTCTTTTGAGTAACCTGGCTGGAGTTTACTCTGAGGTGGCAGCATACGAGTTCACCACTCTTACCACTGTACCAGGTGTCATTCGTTACAAGGGAGCAAAAGTACAGGTGAGCTGCCTTGACAATGTATTATATTGAAATGTGTGGAACTGGTGCACTGTACCAGGTGTCATTCGTTACAAGGGAGCAAAAGTACAGGTGAGCTGCCTTGACAGTGTATTATATTGAAATGTGTGGAAGTGGTATCTCAGAATAGTGTTCTATTTGGGAGGTGTTTCAGTCACAGATATATGGACAGTGGTGTGAACACTGCCTTAATTTGTAAATGTTACAGTGTGGATAATACTCCGATTAGGGGGTCTTCCATCTTATTTTTGTTGTATGTTATTATGTTACACTACACTGAAATTATCTTACATCAATCTTTTCTTTTACACCGATTCCTTACTGCAATTGTATTGATGCTGTTCTGTATAGTGTATACAATACTGTTTGTTTGTAAAGTAAAGTAATATTTAATATGTTGTTTTATTTCAGCTTCTAGATCTGCCAGGTATCATTGAAGGAGCCAAGGACGGGAAAGGTCGAGGGAAACAGGTTATTGCGGGTAAGTCTTCAGTTTACATAAGTTATACAGAAAGAATTATTGAAATGAAGAATATGTGAACTTTAAGTTTTAATAGATTTTTCTTAGGAAATGATAATAATAAGTGGCTACGTTGAGATAATTATTGTGTTTCAAAGGAAACATCTCCTCAAGATTAAAAATTATAGTTGTATGTTTGAAAGCAAATCATGGTTTATGCTCACATTTCAGTGGCCTGGGGGTCATTAACAGAACTTTCGTGAAGTTACAAATTCGCAAGTCAATTGTTAATTTTATGTATTTAGTAAATGTGCTATTTATGCATTAACAGAACTTTCGTAAAGTTACCAATGATTGTTCTTTATATGCATGCAAAGTTTCAAGCTAAAATATCCACCTATTCTTACATGATTAGCAAATATGTTCATGAGCTGGGAATCTTTAAGATCGCGGAGACAGGTTTAATCACAGCACGCAATAATATTAAATGGCATCTTTTTTTGTGCTAAATAATGATATAAGATGACGTCACAATTCGAAATTTGTTTATGAACGATAAAACTTATGAATGACTTACGAAAGTGTTCTGTTAATGGCCGATTCGTAACTTTACGTATTCCTAAATCATTCGTAACTTTTAAAATATTTACGAATTTCCTTAAGTTATGAATTACGATTTCCTAACTTTGCGAAAGTTCTGGGCCCTCAACTCTTGTTTTATTTATTTTATTTATTGTGTATTTGTTCTTTCTTCTTGCATGTAGTTGAAAGTTAATCATGGTTTATGCTCTCATTCCAGTGGCCCGTACATGCAGTCTTATATTTATTGTACTTGATGTCTTAAAACCTTTACAACATAAAAAGCTTATTGAGCATGAAGTAGAAGGTTTTGGAATTCGACTCAACAAAGAACCTCCTAAGATAGGGTACCGGAGAAAAGAAAAGGGAGGCATAAATCTTACAAGTACAGTAAGTTGAAACATTATATGATGACATGTAGTGAAATACCTGCACAAGCTGGGATGTCTTTCGTTTGAATGAAGATATTTTCACGTACCGTATTCTCACTAATGAATGCACAATGCGTTTTCTCTGCATTAAATCTAATGATCAATCCATATCTTGTTGTGTTAATAATTGAAACTAATGCATTAAACTTTATGTTTTCTTGAGACCATATTCATCATATCGCATGTGAGCATTAAATTAGTTCGTATGAAATTTGAATACTCTTCCAGGTGACGCAAAGCGAACTTGATTTGGACCTAGTAAAAACAATACTTAATGAATACAAAATCCACAATGCAGATATCACCTTGCGTAGTGATGCCACATCTGAAGACCTGATTGACGTCATAGAAGGCAACCGAGTCTACATCCCTTGTATTTACATCCTCAATAAAATAGATCAGATTTCTGTGGAGGTTAGTTGCTGTTTATTCTTTCGTCTGTTTGAAATTACACTTTTATTAATCTAGATAATCATTTGATAAAATGTACGAAATTCAGATGACTATTTCTGGAGTAATAATATATTGTGTAAAATAACAAGTACGTTTTATGTCACGATCATATTATAGTCTCCAACTTCAATAACCTACAAGGTGGTGACATTTTGTAATAGCAATGCCTTTTAGCATATCATTCCCATGAAGTAGTGACATATTGTTACACGTTTGCGTTACACATTGTACAAGTGTTGTCCCAGAAGTAATGCACTATATGCCCTAACTTTATCAGTAATTGATATTCTTCCATGAAATTTTCAGTAAATGTTCCTTAGAGACATTCTGATTATTCTACAAAGTTTCATGTTGACTGATAAAACTATATTGATGTTATAATAAAATCAAGTTGGTGAGTTTGGGTAGGGTGGGGCATGTTATGCAGTCACGTCTAAAGGAATAAAAAATTGAAAATATGAAATAATTAATCAACAAATACCATTTTGTATTTGTAACCAAGTGGTGACATTTTTCCATGTTAATGCCTTGTTTTTATAAGAATTCTTTAAAACAACCTGAACTACTAATTGCCCTTTAATGTTTGAATACACGAGAAGTGGCTGATGATTATTGGTCAGTTATTTCTATCGTTATTTTAATTTTCACGTTTTCTTTTTGCAGGAGCTTGATATTATATACAAAGTGCCCCACTGCGTCCCTATATCAGCACATCATAAATGGAACTTTGACGATCTGCTAGAAAAAATGTGGGACTACCTCAAACTTGTAAGAATGTAAGTGGATTTGAAATTTTGATATTCCTGGCTGAAAATACATTTTGGCTGGCGTTTCCTAACACAACCTCAAATATTATATAACAGTGCATTTATTATAGAACATCCATTTATATCATAGAACACCTACTCATATTATAGAACACTTGCATATATTATATAACACCCATTCATATTATAGAATGTCCACTCTTATTGTAGAGCACCCATTCATATCATAGAGCACCTACTCATATTATAAAATACTTGCATATATTATAGAACACCTACCCATATTATAGAACACTAATTGTAGAACACCTACTCATATTATAGAACACTAATTGTAGAACACCTACTCATATCATAGAACCCTAACTTATATTATATAACACCAACATATATCATATAAATGCACCACATTGTATTTTATACATGAGTTAATTGTGTTTATTTAATCCTGCAGATACACCAAACCCAAAGGCCAGTTGCCAGATTATGAGTCACCTGTTGTCTTGAAAGCAAGTGCTGTGTCTGTAGAAGACTTCTGCAATAAGCTCCATAGAAGCATCATGAAAGAATTTAAAGTGTAAGTAACAAGACACCTTGTGCCTATGGAACACATGTCTGATTAAAGTGTAAGTAACAAGACACCTTGAGCCTATGGAACACATGTCTGATTAAATCCTTGTATCAACAGAAGGAAAATTGTATTTAAGTTCAGTTAAACATGTCAAGTGGAAAACCTATCTGAAGTGGAGCATCTCTTTAAGTGGAACATCTCTTTACAAGTGGAACATCTCTTTAAGTGGAACATCTCTTTAAGTGGAACATCTCTTTAAGTAGAACATCTCTTTAAGTGGAACACTTTCTAGAGTCCCAAGATCATTTGACTTTATGTTAAGTGAACCTGTATAAGCAAGGGCTTATTTAATACCCGGGGCTTAGTTATGTACCAAACGAAACGAGAAACGGCGGTCTATAGGATTGAAATCTGTTCACATCATGAGCTAAAAAACCGAATGCCAATTTGCGAACGTTTCGGGTATTACGTTCGCCCTTGGTATAAGTTGAATACCTCTCAAGTGTAGCACTTTTTAAGAGATACCAAAGGTGTTCCACAAAGACAGGCATTACTGTACTGTAATGGATGTAATGTATATTTTAACATGATATCTTTCTGATGTAGAAAATGATTCAAAAATCTTTGCCATAAGATTTCCTTGAAAATATTTAAAATCTTTTGATATTGAAACTTGAAACATATGTAAATAATTTTGAAGAAATAGTGAAATGTACATGTATTGGTTTAATGTGGGTTTATTTGAAGTTTAAATACAACAACCTATGGGGACATGGAATGCATGGGTAGTACTATATCTAGTTCATGTACAGTAAAACCAATAAAACAGAACACTATTGGGACTGGCCAAAAATAGGTATTTACATTTCAACAGTGCTAATCACAAGCAGATTAAAAATGGGGCCAACAAATCGTTGTTCAGATTCGAGGTGTTTGGATTGACAAGTTTTGCTGTACATACACAAGATAGTGTACAATTTGCTTTGGGCTTATTCATCACGAGGCTTGGATAAATGAAACTTGATCCTTTGGCTGGGTGCTCTATAATATGAGTTGTTATTTTTTATTGCAGGGCCATTGTATGGGGATCATCAGTGAAGCATCAGCCACAGAGAGTAGGCAAGGATCATCTATTACAAGATGAGGATGTCGTACAAATTGTCAAACGGTATGGATCAAAGAGAATTGTTTTTATATTGTGCCAATTCTTAATAATTCAAGTAGATAGAAGATTCCTTCATAGATAGGGTGTTCAATTTATTATAATGTTTGTTTTTAATGGCCTAATATATCTATTTTTTTCAAAAAAATGACATGCCCAAACCGCACTCTGAAATCAAGGTACTGTACAGTACATTAAGAGTATGGTATTTTGAATATGGTGCTGTACCGGCGTACAGTGTTCACGTTACCATATATACCGCTATGGCTCAGTGGCAGAGAGAGTCAAGGTTACCAATATCGCTTGGCCCCGGGTTCGATTCCCGGTTCAGACAAGTTTGTTTGTGCGTTATGTAATTCTGGGTGTTTGACTGAGTGGTTCACGACTCGTATAAAAGGCTGTGGTGTGTGCCTGTATGTCTATGTACCTGTGCACATAAAAGAACACAGGGCTCCTCCAAGGAGGGGTTTCTGGCTCTATCTTCGAGTGTAAAATACGGAATATACCAATGAGGTATTGCTCGCCAAATATGGCGGTAACCAAGATATAATAATAATAATAATGGTACTGTTCGAGTCTAAGATACAGTACAATACGATATTTTATGGCACAGTACAGTACCATAGCCAGAACAATACCGTACGGTATTGTGGGAGATTGACTGTGTTACAAAATGAATATCTCACTAATCAACACCGAACATCCTCCTCTATGATGATTTAATAATTAAGCATGTACTTTCTTTTCCAGGATATGAGGATAGAATGCTTAAAAAATACACGCAAGATTAATGAACTGTGAAACTGAATCTTCCAATAAGAAACCTTCTGGTCTTAAAGACTCTGATGCATTGCAAGCAACTTATATCAAAGATCTAAGATAGTATTAACATGGAGACTTTAATAAACACTTCTAAGTTGTTCATATTGTAATCTACTTACGGGTTAAACTGGAAGTTCTCTTATGAAAGAAAGAGTGTTCAGTCAATGACTAAGAAGTGAAAGGACTTCTGAAAACCATCATGGAATTTTGAATGGATTATTTTAATATCATTGATCAATAATTATTTAAAGTAAATAAAGAAGATCGCAACGGCCAAATGGGTATGTACTCTGTAGATGTTGTTGGTTGTGGCTTAGAATGATTACAATCTTTGATATGTTATCCTGATTGAGACGGATGTGTTTTAATATGTTTTTCTTGTTACTTGATATGAAAAGATATTCGTTTCATTCATAACATCCCAGGTCATCAATATTTGGTATCTAGTATTATGGGTAACTTATGGTTCTTTAAAAGGGGGGGGGGGGGGGGTGTTTATTTACAAGCATTTGATATATTGCAGTGATCTCCCCAGGAATTTTTCTCAGGTGGGTGCAAAATTTTATTTTCACAATTCAGACCAAAATTGGTCAAAATATGCCAATTTTTCATGATTTTTCTCACTTTCAAGTGGGTGCAAATGGATTTTCAGGTGGGTGCAAGCTTATTTTCAAAATCTCAGGTGGGTGCTGCGCTCAGTTGCTTTAATGCTGGGGAGATCACTGGTGTTCATTAGCAACCATTTGATATACTGGTCAGGAGAGCTATGAACTGGATCCATGTTTAGTTATTACAGCCCAATGTAAAAGTTCACAAAACAATGTTTGCTATTCTAGTATACTTTATTAAAATCAGAATATTCTTAGTGCGCTATATAAATTACAAAGGCTTTTGGGTTTCGATACACCTGATATGTGGATTTGAATAAACCAAGTTTTGCATACATCCAGATTGTACATTCATGTAAATAAAAAGAATAAACCAATACAACTTTGTTATGCAACATGACTTGTTAGTGTTGAATCTATCTGGATGGTGGAATCATTGATAAAGTGCCTGGGTCTCGAGCTACACGTGGATGTGGTTGCTAAAGAGATGCTTGCATGCATTCCTTAAAATGCGTCTTAGTACTATGAAACAATATAATTTTATTTGTTGTTTTATTTGTTTGCTCAACCGATACAGTATGCTTTGATTAATCTATATTAATCACCGAAGTCACTATTAAAATGTAACACATCAACACCAGGTGGCTTATATATGACAGTAATAATGATATTTTTTGAGTTTTGACTGATTAATTCAATATATATACATATACCCACTAGGGTGTCTAGCGGGTCCTTTTTATAGTGTATATTATATAAGAATTATGAAATAAATAAATTTAATTGAATTGAAATTGAATATCCTAAACACTAGAACTGCACCAGAAATTAAATTTAAAATTAAATTAACAAATTGATATTTCAAATTCAAATGATTTAAATTTTTGAATGGCTTTTAATATTCAAATAAACCTCCTACAAATTCATGTGCCAATCAAAAATTGGACAAACCCTGATTACGAGTACTTGTCATTTATTGATATCATGAACACGGGTGTGTAATTAAGTGAACAAAATGCATGGCGGTTCTTATGCATGCTCTTATAAACATGCGCGCAGAGTCTATCTACTCTTTTAAGAAGCGAAGTCGAATGAATGCGAAGGGTATGTTGTTATAATCCTGGATTCAAAGAAGAGTGTTCTCCCTATACTTCAATACTCCTATTAGTGGTCGGATTTCTACTTTTGGATGTGTTTGAGTTGCCCCTTGCTGATTTTGTATTTTCCTGTACATCATCTTCATTGTATTCCTCCCTGTTGCTGCCATCCTCATCTTCGTCGTCAGACTCTTTCTCTTCACACATACACGCGATAAACTCTAAAATATTCAAATTTATTCGTTATTACTTCATATAAACATTGGACATATTTCGTGTAAAGTAAAACCTGTAAAGTGGAACGCCTTTGTAAGTGAAACGTCTTTTTAAGTGGAACGCTTTTGTAAGTGAAACGCCTTTCTTTGTAAGTTGAACGCCTTTGTAAGTGAAACGCCTTTGTAAGTGGAACGCCTTTGTAAGTGGAACGCCTTTGTAAGTGAAACGCCTTTGTAAGTGGAACGCCTTTGTAAGTGAAAGCCTAATATTCTGAAGTTAAACGTACAATTGACTGGGTATCAACTATTATATTAAGTCATTAAAAAAATCATTGAAAACCGAATATCTTTATCATCGTTATGATTTTGTTCATATAATTTTAGTTATAAGCTATTTCGAAATCAATTCCATATTATAGCAAGACAACGCTGGGGTATCGCTGTTGTTATTACTACTACGTGAACAGGGGAAGTTTCCCCAGTATGCGATTCAGTTCTTTAAGACACAATTGTAATTAAAACCAGTTTAAAATTCTCATATTCTAAAATGTATAGGTAGTATATATATGCACTCGATTTTCTTTTCATAAAAACAGAAGGACCACAAGTTGAATAAATGAAAGCATCGAATGGTTCATAATATGCCGGCCCCTGACCAGAAATTCTTATAAAATCATCCAGTTTTTCACCATTCTGAGCACTTTTCGCATGATTTTTTAGCCAAAACTTTCAAAAGCTCCCCCCTTGGCAACCCCCCCCCCCCCAACTTGGTAAAAGCTGGCTGCGGGCAAGATATGTATACCATAATGTAATGTATGACATGTAAGAAAAACAAGTGAAGCAATACTTGACGGCCACGGGAACGGCCATCGTGAAATCTTCATTAGACGCCATTTTACTTTGCTCGAGCTCGAAGTGAATGAAATGCTCCATGGCGAACAAGGAGGATTGGAAGCCATAATTCAAACTTTTTGAACCCAAATTTGTATGGCCTCAAAACTAGGCCATTTTGGGCATAATTTGGCCTTATCCAACTTATCAAAATTTTGGGTCAAATGGGCCAACATTTTTTTAGCGCATCCGCATAATTTTTTTCCATACTCAAAATTTGCCCCCCCCCCTTGTTAGCTTCTGAATCTGAAAGTGACGTGTATTATATTTTAGACTGCTACATCTTTCGATTTTGAAACTACGACCGCCGTACGGTTACTGTAGATCAAATGCTACTGAGGCACAAATGTTGATTCTCGAATATTCACAATTCAAGCACAGATATCACATACTTCTGAATTTGAACATGTGCACATAGATTGACCTAATTCATATAAAAGGCCGTGACTCTTGGACTGAGTGTCTTAGCAGATCTTTAAAAACGAATAAAGACTGCGATGGCTTTGCTTGTAATAATAACTACGTGTACCCAGTTTTGATTAAATTATCAGTCGTGAAAATTGCTCAATATTTTTCATGGTAAAATTAACAAAGGCGAGAAAAGAATTTTTCAAAAACGGGCATGAAAATACTGAATCAGATTTGGCATAAAGCAAAACGAGTACTAGAGGTAGAAGTGTACCTTGCTGAAATCCTGACATAAATAGTTTTGTCCACAAGATCACATAGAGCTTCTGAAAATTGATATCTATTAGACTATTACCTTCAAAGTCAATTCGTCCGTCACCGTCAATGTCCACTTCAGCTATCATCTCATCAACTGCAACAATATAAACTGTGCGAATGACTAAATGTAGCACATTTTGAGTTTGAGATACCTACTCGGTATCAAGTTCTTTACGTGAAAGAATTGATGGTCCACCAGGGATTATTACCATAATTTGACAGGACCTCCTACACTTTTACACCGGTTGTGTATCAGTCATATTATATGTTTGGTAATGGTGAATGTGATGACGATGCAAACGGACGGGTGATCTATGACGCATCCGTTTGCATCGTTGGTACATAGCACTGATACAACATTATAAGTTATAATCGGTGGTATACAATTTATTACACAAATCAGTCGTTTCATAACACAAATATCTTACTAATACACTTTCGTCAAATTAGAATCAATTAATGGCATCCTGTGTCGAATAAATGCAATGGTAATATGAGGCATACAGTAGTAGGGGAGACCGGTGCACAACGGAACACTATTTTGCTCCATTTTCCCCTAACTTACTTTCTTCTTCTGTTAGATCCTCTCCAATGTTTTGCAAGACAGCTCGCAGATCAGAGGCTCCTATGTAACCACACCCCTGCCTGTCAAACACCTAGAAACCAAGACGAAAATAAGATGTACATTTTTAAAGTTATTAGTTTTAAATTAAAAAAAATTAAATGTTACAATTTTATTGTATGAACTAAAGGAATATTACGAAAATATTAAATATAAATTATGCTTTTACTATAGGCCTATCTTGTTATTTGAAAAACTTGGAAAAGGTTATGTCTACCCCAAACCCACTCAAGTATGGGATACACCAGTTATGTACGGTCGGTTTTGGATATAGGGTATATCCATAACCTCTCAGTACATAACCCTTATATATGTGTTTTAGTCAGTTTATTCCGATATTTATTTCTAAACTTAAGTTCATGATTAAATGTTCGGTCTGCGTGACAAATATATTTTTTTCAAAACAACTTTTTATGACATTTCTATTCAGAAATAATTTGAATTAATCAAAGAATTACAAATATTTATAAGAATAACATGAATTATTTGATTTAAATGTTTTCTTTGATAACTTTAATTCAACACACGTTTACTCCCGATAACAGAGATATCTTTTTATGTTTCTGTGATAACTTAAGTTAAGAGAGTAGAATTGAGGTCGCCAACATAATATATTCACATTCTAGGTTACAATTTGTGTCAGACATCATTTGTTGTTAGTTAAAGAATATTAAACAGTAGAACATGTAAACAACTCTCCCGATGCCAAGATCGTAATTTGAACGAATGTGATTATTCTATAAAAGGCAGAAACATGCCCGACTGACCTACTACTACAGTGCGTATCAAAAACGTAACAGATTGTTACGATTCAATGCATCATAAAGCGACGTGTCTCCTCTTTCCAATGATATATCATTCATTGATATTTGGTCATGGTTGGGCGAGTAATCATTCCATTTGCAAAGTGGGCCAAAATTAGCTTGGGACCAAGTTATAAACATCGCAAAAGTCAGTGTACGGAGCCCGTGGAATATTGGAAGAAAACATAAAACCAATGCTGACTGCATCCTTTTCATTCAATGTACCAAAAAGCCAAATTACTCCTCTTTGCAATGGAATATCATTCATTCACAGGGAGTCATGGCTGGCCGAATAATCATTAATTTTGCAAAGTGGGGCAAAATTCAGCTCGGACTCAGGTTTCAAACATTGCAAAAGTCAGTACAAGGGGCATAGGGTTAGAGTTAAACAATCATAGAAAACAAATACCACATCGTGCACCTATTCATTTAGTGATTCATTCGTTAACTAAAAATAAAAATATAAATCTTGTAGATTTGTTGATTTTTTAACAGAAATCGTCATCTCTTATTTTGTCCAATTACCGGCCACGAGTATAATTCGTCAAAAGGACAAATGTCTTACAGATAGCATTCCTCACTCAGAGATTGTCGTTGTTGTTTCTTTTAGTTTCAAGTGAACACATTTTTGCAATATCATTAACACGTGTTTGAATTAGCTATATACACACTCACTAACTTTATTTTGTTTATTTTCATATTATCCAAGAGGAAATCATTATATCATGAGATTTTCATATTTCCATTTAAAAAGTAGATTACGATCCAAAATCATTTTTTGCTTCACACCCATATGTGCGATTTTTTACTAATGCCTCGTGCTTGGCTACGGCCATGATATGGTGTATAGTGTTAGATAACCGAATAACCAACTCAGTAAGTAGTAGCCCTATACGATACCATGAACGCCTGTCGGAGTTCTTCCTCTTCGTCCTCCTCTGCGTCCTCGCTGATACTACCCATGTTGGCCATCAGTTGGACAAACTCCTCAAAGCTGAACTGACCGTCGCCTGTAAGTAAAAACTGCAAAGTTGAAATAGAGCAGACAAAATCTGAAGAAGAGCAGAACAACAGTCTCATTTAGTCTACGGCGGGCGTACGGCGGCCGTAGCTTCACAAAATCGTTATAGAAAATCTTCATCGTACTGCTTATCCCTATGTTTTGTACTGCATATTTTTCTCGATCCGAGGCTACGACTGCTGCACGGTTGCCGTAGATCAAATGTGACTGAGGTATACGGTAGTAGATCACTAAATTCCAGTAGATAACATTAAACATGCTATGACCTATGTTCACATTTAACAAACACGCACGAATATATATCGACGAAACAAGGACGCCCAGATGTCGAGAAGTCTGTTACTACAATCCAAGCATTTGCATGCCCTATAAATAGCGGACTGAATTCCCCGCATGTAAAGAACATGCATAGATCTTTCACATACTAATGACAACGACCTTGGAAAATGACCTTGACCCACTGAAACTTGACCTTCAAATAGTGAATATAAAAATGTCTCCAAAAATTGCTTCAACTGTTCTTTAAAAATCCCGAATCGCTCACAGACAAGCACACTGTACGTAAAATGTCGTCATCGAATATTCACCATTAAGATGAGCATAGCTGATAATTAGAATTACCATCAATGTCGATTTCTTCCAACATCCGTGTCAGTTCATCTGAGGAAGGAAATTGTCCGAGGTTTCGCATCACGGTCCCTAGCTCCTCTGTGTCGATGCTGCCATCCCCGTCCTTATCAAACAAACGAAATGCTTCCTTCAATTCTGCAAACACAGTTTTGTTTACACTAGGAGACAGTAGTGTGCTACACTTTGAAGAACAGTAGCTGTGTGCTACACTTTGAAGAACAGTAGCTGTGTGTTACACTTTGATGAACAGTAGCTGTGTGTTACACTTTGAAGAACAGTAGCTGTGTGTTACAATTTGAAGAACAGTAATAGTGTGTTACACTTTGAAGAAAAGTAGCATGATATTACACTACATACAACATCCAGTCATTGAGTCTTGTTTTACATTCTAAACAATATTAAATATGTCTTGCCAATATGACAACTTTGAAGGGCTCAGATGCAAAGGCGAAACTTCTTTATATTCGTATTCCTCCCTTCTTTCATAATCCTCTTACAAGTTCAATGTTATTTTATTGATTTTGTTTGTCATATAGTTCCAAAAGTGTTGCAAAATGACGGAATTATATAGATGGAATTGTAGCGAGTCTACAAATCAATGAATCAATAATAAATCTAAACCAACCAATCGATCAATCTATTGATCAAGACAATGTCTACTTACCTTTCACTTGGGATTCTGGGTAACGCTGGAGGATAGTGGACTGAAAGTATACGAGTTTTGTATTATCAACAATTTAATTTCTTCAATTATTTCTTCAATTATCGATTGATCTCCAATTATTTCTTTACATGATTTGACCATGTGCGAGCAGTGCATCCGCATGGCAGGTAACGTTTGCATTGATCAGTGGTCGTGTTAACCAAAACAGGTAGGGATATATCACTAGAGGAAATGTGTACAATTATTAAATAACTGTTCATCCTAAGTGCATATTCAGTTCTAAACTAGAGAAGCTATCTTTTAAGAAGCAAATTGCAAAGGATATGACCAGTGATTATCCACGATTCACTTATCTGAAAACTGACTAGTGAGGGAAACTGAAAATACATGTAAGTCGTTTAGTGATAATGTTTTGGTGATAATGATAACTGACCCATTTGGAATCGGCGATAGTGCATCACAGATCATACAGATAGATCATGGAGAAAATTCAAGAAAATGGTGAAATATCGAGAAAAAAGAAATGTTTATCCATAATCAAATGGTCTGACATCCCGGGGTCTAACATATTGTCACACAAGCAGAATGGCTTGCTAACGTTGATAGACACAATGAATCTTAATATAAATGTTGAGTCGATTGCTTCAAATCAAACATTTACTAATTACATTCATCGGATCTCTTGGATAAGTCACTCCACTATTCCTATTGCTGTTCTTGAATTTCGTATTTTATAATTGTGTAATTGAACTCAACTGCACCAAACCAACGAGTATCAGATGTTTACAACGCAAAATGTGTCTCCCTATGTGTCATTCCATACCAAAAATTCCTTCAACTGTTCTTTAAAAATCCCGAATCGCTCGGATAAGGTTAAGGTCAGGGTGCATGATGAAAATTTTTCATGCATTCCTCAATTGAGTCACATGTTATTTTTCAAACAAGAATCACTCCTTCGCCCAAATTGTCTATATCTTCCAGTTTTGCACAAAGAGTGCACTTATGTGCCTAGAAAAGACTTGTGAGAAGAATGTTTTGATAAAGTGTATAAAAAACAAGAAAATTCAGTGAAAAAATTTAGAAAATTTTCAGATTTTTTTTCACTGAATTTTCTCGTTTTTTATATATTTTACAAAACAAATCTTCTCACAAGTCTTTTCTAGGCACATACGTCATCATGCACCCTGACCTTAACTAAATATGAAAAATGTTGTATTTCCTCGACATGTGTATGCTGTACTCACTTCTTTAACCATCCTTGCTGAATCAATGTTATCTTTAGTGGCCATATGATCACCAACATTCCCATTCCCGAGGACAGTAGCATCCTTACTTTCTGAACCCTTCATATCTTCATTTACTATCTTGAAAATCCTTTCACTTGGACCAATACCCGGAAATATTTGCAGTCGTAATAGCCTAATATACAGTGAATTGATTGGAGCTCTCTATTTAACATCCTCAGGCCTTTACCTCATTATTGATTGATTTGCTAAGAGGATATCTCAGTTTTCATCAGCCTTCGAGACTAGTTCTATGAGATTGATGCCCTGCAGTGAAATGCAGTGCACTCTAGCGTACTGATCGTGTAATTCAGTGTAGCCTATACTAGTGTACGAGTAGTATAGCCTCGCCTAGAGTATAGTGTAGCTTAGTGTAGATAGTGACGCCTAACATTCATGTAGTGTACTGTAGCCTAGCGATGGATAGCCTAGTGCTAGTGTGTAGGTGCAGTGTATTGTGCAGATTAGTGAAAGTTATTCCAAACAACTGAGTGCGTAGTGTATTGCCTAAAGTTAGGCCCAGTTGAGTGCAGTGCAATCGAGCATAGCGTATTCATGTCTACAGGATGTCCCGAAAGTATGGGCCCCCCTAGGCAGACATACACCAATGTCCCATAGTATATGTCATATATCATTTTAAAGCTTGTCAAAAGTTACATTGATTTGCCAAGTATCATGGTTCAACTCAAAAACGGGAAAAAGTTACACACATTTCAAAATGTAGTGTTTTACCAAAATTAAAGTTTAGTTTTACACAAAATTAATAGTCGGCGTGTCCCCCTTGGCCATGTTAACAGCAGTAATTCTTTCCAGATATGACCTTAAATGCACTTCAAATAGGGGTATGGTATTTTATAATCCTCATAAAACCTTTTTAAGGCATTTTAGAAGAGTTTCCTTGGAGTATCTGCCCTTACCGACCTCTTTTACAACTCAATATCCATCCTCTCTTTGACTATAGAACCCATATTTTTGGTCACATTCAGGTTAGAGGTGTTTCCAGGATATTGATTTTAACTTTAATTTTGGACAAATACTAAGTTTTGAAATGCCTGTAACTTTTTCCCATTTGTAAGTTGAACGATGATACTTGGCAAATAAATGTAACTTTGGATAAGCTTTAAACTGATATATGACACATACTATGGGAGCATTGGTGTATGTCTGCCTAGGGGGGGGGGGGGGGGCATACTTTCGGGACACCCTGTACAGTCTGTTAAACTGCTTTAAAGGCAAGCAGTTAAAACTGAAATATAAGAAATCTAAATACCATTGTGCAATAATATACAGAAGAAATTTATTCATATTGCACACGAATGACATTTGTATATTTTTCAGGTTCAACTGCTTGCCTTGGGAGCAGTTTAACAGACTGTAGGGGAGTATAACCCATTGCATTCTGTTGTAGTGTAGCATGGTAAATCTTATAAATTAGTGCAAGCCGACCTAGCAAAATGCATTTTTATTGTAACATGCGGCAAAACTCTATGATGGCTCTAAATTACAAAATCACTGATATAATATCGTATCATATATTTTCATATTACATCAATGCCTTTTCATTATTTACTACTATAACTGTATAATTAACGAATGATTTTAATTCCTTTGCAAGCAAGCACCTCCGTGAAGGAGGTAATTATAAGGAGTGTAGAGTTACGATGCAAACAGTTGGACACAAGAATAATATATAGAATGATAAAGTGCAGACGATCAATCACTAAAACATATTGAGACATCCTTTCTTAATAAACCAGTTTCCTTTAATGCCTGAGAACTTGAGTCTTACATTGATAGGACCCTATTCCATTTATAGTGATGCATACAAAGGCCCTGAGTGCGCAGATGTGCGCTCATCTACAAGATTGACAAAATCCTATCATGTTCTGACTTTAATGCAAGACTGGTTAGCATTAATCGACAAAATGAACCAATACAATCTTGTTGGAGTGGGATGGACGGGGTGGGGGAGTGTCGGAAACATATTTTTGATCCATGTAAATTATAGCAGAAGAAATTAGTCGTGATAAATCATGGATTTTGGTTCCAATTCGTAGAAAGCCGCATTGGCTTAAAGTGGTTGAGCATCAACTAACAGGGAATAACTTAGAATTGCAATATTAGGTCATTAAACTGTGTTGAAGAATCCTTTTTCATTATGTCGACATCCTAACTATTTTCCAGCAAAGAGGGACCATATATAGAGCTAGAATCAAAATTACACCAGGTGACAGTGAAACGGATAGATCTAATAATGATTGCTGGCTGGAATTGAGTTAGAAATCTTTCTAGGGCTTTCTAGTGGCGTGCATTGCGACATTTGAAATAAGGTTTAATGAAAGAACCAGACCCCATTAACACCTTGAGGAGCACCTTTTAGATGAGCATCTTTAGAACCCCATTTACAACGAACTTCTTTTTTTCCAACACAATTTTCAGGGCATTGATAGATCAGTGGTTTCAAACAACGAACTAAAACAACGTTTCTACTCGTCATTTTCTTTATAGAATGCTAAAAAGAGCTACCATTTGCATTCGTCCGACTTCGCTTCTGAAAAGAGAGCTTCGTCGTAGTTTATAACTAGACTCTGCGCGCAGGGTGCGGAAGAGCGAGAGCAACATTTCTTATATTGTATATTAAGCTTCACAAGGAAGCTTTTGGTTTTGAAACATCTTAGATTCTTTTTGTGTGAGCGTTTTTTTTATATTTTTGATTACAAATTTCTGCCATACATGTTGGTAAGCCATTTGTTGTTGCTTTGTAATAAACTTTGTATTTACAGGACCAATAATGCTGAATTCAGCCTAGGCGACGTCATATGTATGTCAATTTTGCATTTGAATAAAAACCCATAAAACTAAATAAAAACTATAAAAGGGAGATATTTGAATGACAGTGAGTGAGGCCCGATCCGATCCAATCTCTCGGAGACCTGGCTTGAAATTACAACCCCCAAAGGATTATATGGTCAATACTCAGAGAAAGGGGCAATAATTCGATGATATTCACACATTTTCCTAAGCAAAGGGTGGGAAATTCAGTGAGAGAAATCTTAAGTGTAGTTGAGGAAGATCTTTTAGATCTTTTAAATTAATTCTAAGTAAATCATTTGACGCATACAAACAATGGTTCGACAATGGCAGTTATACAAGAATCCGAACGCTATCGTTTTCCGATTCTTTGTTGCTTGTGCTCCTCACACGTCTCAATCGATGGTGGTTGGAGTCCAATTCAATAATTCAGTGTCCTTTATTTGATTACAATGCATGTAAGATGAGTAGTGAAATGATTGCTCGTAAGGCGCCATTACACTTAGCTTGTATTTGAGAATGCAACTTTCGGCTGTCGGCTACAGGATTAACCTACTATTTTCTGGGTAACTCATTTAAATATGAATAGTACCTGCCACTATTCCATTCATATTTAAATGTGTCGATCATAAGATAGAAAGTTAATCCGGCAGCCGACAGCCGAAAGAGCATAGGAATGGTGACATCGATACTGTGGTCATGTGAGTTTGGTTGTGTCGCCGTTGACTTTGCTATACGTCGTATACGTATTCTGGCATATTCACCTCATGGTCATCAAGTATTTGTTTAATAATGTACATGCGTTCACATGATAAGCAATCATTTTTTACACAAGTTGGCAATATCATGCCGTTTTGTAAAATAGTCACCAATTATATCATTTTATTGTAACCGATATGTGTCATAAAGAGTAAAGAAAAACTATTTGTGAATCATCTGTGTTGAAAATAAGAAAAGAATCAACCACAGAATTGGTGTCTCATAGTTGGAAAAAAATATTTTAATGGAACATTCATCCTGAAAATTTTCAGAAATGTTCAGAAAAATCTACTTCGAAGTTCTGTAAAGACTGAACAAAGACAATCAAATAGTGATCAATATTAATACTTACCATTGTTGCTTCTCCTTTGCTTGTTAAAAGATTGAAGTTTCCCAGTCGATCGGTTGATGCTTTTATCTTTCCGTTTCTAGCGACGTTCTCACTGTTGCGCTGAAGTAGGCAGTGTCAATATATACATTTTAAACATGATTAAGTATGATTGCGTGCTCCTTTTTATATTATTGAATGATGTATTTGTTTTTCTGACATTTCTATAGAACACGCTTTGCTGATTTCATATATCTTTATTCACATTAAAATGACAGCACACATAAATGGGTACTTCCTTCACTCTATAATTATATTAAAATGCTTTTTACTTATAAATATTCTAGAGTTACCATATAAAACAGGCTATCTTGACATTTTACGTACTGTAGCTTTACCTATTTGTAATATTATCTGTGTCGCGGTGTTAACATAGCTCTCCTCTTAATAATTGGTAAATGCCAGCAAGCGCACTACTGCAATGGAGTAATGAGATTTCAGGCAATTTTACTGATTCAATAAGAAGTGATTTGATTGCAGATGGATCTATTTCGCCTCGATATGATTTCATATTTTTAATACAAGGAAATATCTGAATCAAGATTAGAGCCAACTAAAGTTCTAAAAAGCAAACCCAATGTCCTGTTCAAGAACCCCTATTCTTATAAGCTTGTATTCGCGAATGCAACTAACGCCGAATTAACTTCCTATCTTATGACCAACTCATATGAACAGTACCTGCCACTATTCCACTCATATTTAAATGGGTTGGTCATGAAATAGTAGGTTAATCCGATAGCCGCTAACCGTTAGTTGCATTCGTGAATACAAGCTTATTAGCCAAGGCCCTTTGAAAATTTTGGTTTGCTCTAGATGGAACGACCATTGTATTCACTGGCTCGACATAAAGATGTCAGTTATGGTCTATCTTTTTATCTTCCATTTTTCCGTCGGTCAAAAATGTCGGATAAAATGCAAATATGATAACTAAATACAAAGCCAATCTCCAATATGGTACCGTACGGTACCGTAAACCTTAACGGTTTACGGTACTGTACGGTATCGTGATTTCAAGGTGCGGATTGGTGGTGTAGAGCTAAAGGTATACAATAAAATGAATAATTAAACCATTTTTCATCTTATTATAATAAGGGCTAATAAGCGTCTCAAAGTCTTAGACTTATAAACGGTAGATAATGAAGAGGTGTCGGTCTCCCCTCTCAAAAGTAGAATCAAAATAGTCGTTCACATACTGTTTTCGATCTGCAAAAAATGAAGCAGGAAATTCCTCCATCCTAAATTACATAACACTCTAGCTGTGCTACCCACTCGTACATCAATTCAAACTCAAAATTGTTTGGTTATCCATGGGACGTTCATGAGACCCCTGGGACATATGGAACAAGTGAAATATTTGTAAACGTCTCAGGCTGTTTGCAATATCCATTAGAAATATTGTTTTAAAACACATGATTTAATCAACCAGATTAAAGTCAGCGAGCATTCTTAAAATATTCTCATGTCTGGCACTCGCTTTCGTACACCCCGAGGCGGCCACCC